GACCTGAAAGTGACCTGACCTAAGCTAAATTCGACTCAAAATTACCTCGAGTGACACAGACGACATCAAATTCGAAATCTATGGCCTAAATGGACCACAAAACATGTGTCACGTGACCGATGCATGATATAATATTTCCGTGACCTGTGATGACCTGACCCTGACCTGAAAATCAAAGTACAAGTTTGGTACCCTCAAGGTATCTAGAGCATCTGTTCACGAGTGTGTAAACCAAAAATGAGCCTGATCTGACTTGTAAGACGGCGGCCAGAGCCCAAAATGTGAACAAGCCAAAACGCTAATAATTTTTACTTTGACCTGACCTGTGACGTCATCGGTGACCTCGAGGTCAATGAAATCAGGTTTCGCTCGACAGTTTTTTCCGGGGCTATCAGACGCCGTTTGAATTTTGACGATCGGCCCAGTAGTTTCGGAGTTAGGAGGGGGGCTATGGAGAGCCCCCCCCCCCCTAGTAGGGCGTGTTATACACTGACCCCAGTGGGGCGCGGGTTAACTACCCCCACACTGGCATTACCAGCGGTGTGCACCGCTGGCGGCCGGCTGGCTTAAATTGCCGAAATGGCGCCTGCCGCTGCCTCTGGCCAGTCGAGGCTGTGCTTAGTCGGGCGTCTCCATCAAGTTTCTGATCTTTTGTTCGATGCTGGTTCCCGGAGCGGTCTCCGTCTCTCCCGGAGCGGTCTCCGTCTCCCGCTCGGTTGGTGTTTTTCCGGAGTCGATTAGAGCAGAGTGTAGGCTGACTGTGGGTTGTCCGCGCTGCCCTGTTTCGTGCTGTGCCTAATCTTTTGGCTGTGTGCCGCCCTGCTCTGGCGGGCTGGACGGGGTGTCTGAGTAGTTCCGGGCTGGACGGGGTGTCTGAATAGTTCCGGGCTGGACGGGGTGTCTGAGTAGTTCCGGGCTGGACGGGGTGTCTGAGTAGTTCCGGGCTGGACGGGGTGTCTGAATAGTTCCGGGCTGGACGGGGTGTCTGTATAGTTCCGGGCTGGACGGGGTGTCTGAATAGTTCCGGGCTGGACGGAGTGTCTGAATAGTTCCGTGGCGAGCTAGACGGATGTCAGAATAGTTGCGGACCGCTCTCGGTCCTGTTTCTCGGTGTGAGGAATTGGATCGACTCGGACGGACGTCGGGCGGCTCTGCGGAGCCGACTTTGGACGGTCTGGTCGCCACCCTTCTCCGGTCCCTAGCTGACGTCCGTAGTGCAGCTGGGACGCTCTGGTCTGAACGCCCGCGCAAATGGCCAACATTCTGAGCGAATTCCACGGTGGGATGAGCTTTCCGATGGATGGATGCTGGGCTGTCGTAATGTATCATGCTAGCTGCTCGTTTCACTTCAGGTTCAGCGGGTTTGCGCAATGCACTAAAGCTATGGCGGATGGGCTTCGCCGGGGATATTTGGCCCCCGACTCGGGGTTGTTTTCGCTGGCGTGCCGCTCTGTTCTCGATCGTAAGTAGATTTCGCTCCGAGGCCGATTTCATTAGATCTGTGTACTGCCGGCCGATCGGTATAGCTCTAACTTCCCGTGCCGGAATATTCTCAGCCGATCGGTAGCTGTAAGTTTCCGCCCGCCATGTTCTCCGTCCAAGAGCGCGGAGTTTCCCCTTCTCTGTGTCTCGCTCAGTGCCTTCTCGTTCTCAGTTTTATCCTGGCTGCTGACCTACAGTAAGTACCACTGTCATAAATGAAGAACATAGCTACCATGGTGTCCTGCTCGCCAGTAGCCTACCATCGGTGTATGCCTGCCGGACCAACTGCTCGGATATGCCTCAGAGCTGTCCTCTCGTGCTGTGACCCGGTGCCGTCCTCCCCGGGCGGTGACCCGGTGCCGTGGTTCATTACTTTTCTCCCCGGGCGGTGACCCGGTGCCGTCCTCCCCGGGCGGTGACCCGGCGTCCCGCCGACCGCCGATGGCCGACCCATGTCCAGTGGAGCTGTGTGACGAGCGCCAGCCCACACGGATCAGCTCTGTTCACTGTCCACCGTCCCCGGAAGGGTCCTGCCAGGGCTGGCCGGCCACGGGGCCAGTATCGATCCGCGCACCCCACCCCGCCTGTCCAACGCGGCCGCAGGGCCGGCCCGTGAACTGCCAACTGTGCAGCAGCAGCAATACTGGACCCCAGCCGAGCAATACTGGACCCCAGCCGAGCAATCCTGGACCCCAGCAGCAGCAATACTGGACCCCAGCCGAGCAATACTGGACTCGAGCCGAGCAATACTGGACTCCCAGTCTGTCCACCAGTCGCGACCGACGGTGGTCAATCGCCGGCGCCACTCAGGCGCAAACACTCCTCTGCCGCCGTGATGTTTGCCCTCAGCTCCGCCGGCATTGGAACGCACTGTGGGACGCTGGCTGCTTTTTGAAAGCCATTTGACTGCGGTAGGAGTCCGGTGTATGTGGCTGCACCACGAGAGCAATCAGCCTCATTTGTCCGGAGACCACATGCTGCTGAGCTCTGAACATTTCGCTACCCACCGCTAGGCTCCTCCATCACTCCCTCTCCCATACTCCCCGGTCCTCAGCGCCCCAGCCCCCAGCTCGGCCTGAGCTCCTCGATCCATTCGTAGTCGAGCCGATCCGATTTGGCGGTGACTTACTGGCTTTTTATGGAGACGGTGGTCGGCTGAAAACGGCTTAGAACGGCTCTGAATGCCGCACTGTGGGGCGGCGGCGGCGGATACTCCCGCCCGGCTTCTCTCTGTCCGTCTTCGTCGACCCCACCCTTTCTCTCCGCCGCCTATTCCGCTCTCCGTCTGTCACTGTCTCCCGCCGGCGATTCCAGTGTCTCAGCCCAGGAAGTGCCAGGGGTGAGTATTTGACCCGTGTCTCTGCCCAGGAAGTGCCGGGGGTGGGCGTCGGCGGCCGCTCACCCCCCCTCAACTGCAGGGAGGGGAGGAACCGATGCTGACCGGCTGGTGGCCACGCCATGAGGAGGGGCTGGCGTTCGCTCGATCGAACTCTGTCGAAGAGCTGATGGGCGTGGCCCTGCCGTCCTGGAAATGGGCGTGGTCTGAGTCAATGCGTGTTCTTGGTGGGCGTGGTATGAGACATGAGTCCGTGCGTGTTGGCTGTGGGCGGGGCTCTAATCCGTCCGTGTGGTCACTGGGCGTGGTCTGAGTCTGAGTGTGTATTATAATCAGTGGGCGTGGCACAGCTTTGGCCGTGTGATCAGCGGGCTGGCCCGAGCTTGGCCTATCCGCGTGACGAGCCGGGTCGATTCCTGGCGCGTCGTAGGTGCGCTTGGTCCGACCGTGGGTGGTCGGTGGGCGTGGTCCGACTCACCAGCTGCGTCGACCGGTGGGCGTGGCCTGATTCCAGCTACACCGACCGGCGGGCGTGGTCTGATTCCAGCTATACCGACCGCTGGGCATTGTCCGGCACTGTAGGCGTGTTCAGGCCGTGGGAAGGTGGGCGGGGCCTCTCCACCCGCCGCGGTGAGTCACAGAAGTGGTGTCGTCGGTACCCTTACCCCTCCCCTAGGGCGATGGAGAGGTGGTGTCGTCGGTACCCTTACCCCACCCCTAGGGCGATGGGACAGAGGCCGGCGGGAGCGACCGGTCCGCTGGGTCATGACTGTTGGCTTGAATCCCACTCGGCTGCCGACAGCTTCCCGTCGGCGGCGGCCCTCCAGACGTCACTGCGCGGAACACCGAGCCGGCCTCCGCCCCTCTGCCCCCGACTGGCGCCGTCCCGGTACTCTCGGTGTGTCGTGTCGGTCCCGGCGTGCATCGTCCGCGCCTCCTCTCCTTCCCCTCCCCTCCCACACTCTCTAGCCGGCGCTGCTGCCCGCTGAACCGGGGCTGTGAATACCGGACTACCCCGCAGCGGACTACTGTCGGAGCTGTAAATGCCATCTGCTCCGCAGTGCGCCTCTCCCTGCTCGGCTGCCGCTGCCGCCGTTTGGATGGCACCCAATTGGATGCAGATTGGTCGCGAGTGCAGGCCATTGCTCGGTCGTGCCGCCGGGGTCTGGCGCGGCGCGGACGGCCGTACCGGGAGGGGCGGGGGCGGAGGGTGCTGCTGCCGGCCCCGGTGACGGTGAGGGGGCAGAACGGATGACGCCGCGATAATGGTCTCAGTAACACGCAGGAAAAGACAGCACCGGTACTCGGCTGATAGGCCGGGAGCTGGGGAATAGACGGGCGAGATACAGCCGGTGGGCCAGTGACGGGCGCACGCCGCCACCGCAGTGGGCGCAGTCAGTCTGTCTGCCTCCCCGGGACTCCGGTCCCTCGCACCGTCACTGAGTCTCAGCCTCAGTCACACACTCCCGCCTGGGACCGGGGCCCGGCCTCGAGCTCTGTGATCAGATCACTGCGCTCCGGGTCAGCTCCGAGATCGATCGAGCGCGCCGGCCTACATCGAACCGGATAAGTTTTCAGTCCCATTTGTCTGATGCATTTGTTGAGCGGGGCGGAGCGGGGGACGGGGACGCGGGGTACTCCACATAATGTGTGCAGGCGAGGGGAAGTGTTCGCAGCGGGCACTATACAAGTGTACAGAGCACTCGAGGAAATGGCATGGTACTGAGAGTCTTTTCAGCATTTAAAAGGCCGGTGCTGGAAGCATTGAGCGTAATGCTGTAAACGCTTAGACATCCTTGGTCGTATTATCTGATATTGAAATTTTAGTCCCTAGTTTTTATCTGCATTACCTAGCTAAGCTTACAACGCGTTTGTCTGACCGTTATCTTTATTGTCATTGTCATTGTTGTTGTGTCCCTACACACTGGCCTCTGTGCCCCCCGCCAGTATACTGACGTGTTCCCCGGCTGTGACTGACCTCTGGGCTCTGTGTATGTTGTCCTCTGTCTTCCCCGGCTATTTACTGACCTCTGTCTCTTCCCCTCTTCCGACAGTGACCGGCCTGTGTCCCTGCTGTGACTGACCTCTGTGTCCCTGCTGTGACTGACCTCTGTGTCCCCTGCTGTGACTGACCTCTGTGTCCCTGCTGTGACTGACCTCTGTGTCCCCGCTGTGTCCGCAGAGCGGGCTGTGCCTCTCCTCGGACATGGAGACGTCCCGCGGCAGTATCCGCATCCAGCACCTGACAGGCACGCGGCCGCCGGTCGGCGAGCCGCGCTTCCCCAAGCTGGAGGAGTGCGCCCACTTCCATTACGAGGTGGTCGAGCTCGGCCCGCTGCTGGTGAGTGAACTGACAGACCCACCCGCCGACCCGCCGCGGAGAGCGAGGGCAATTGACTTCTTGTCGCTGTACCGGCTAACTGCAGCGTCCTGCAGGTTATGGTTAGAAGCGCTGTCTTTGGCACTGATTCCTGGCGTTCTTATGTGTTTACCGCCATCAAATCATGTTAAGCTGTGTCATTGTCGCCACATTCAGGACGCTGAATATTTTCAGTGCACAATGCACATGTGTCGGATCTCAGCTCCGTTGTCAATTTCATCTTGCCTCCTTCCGCCCTTGAATCATGTGTTGTATAGGTGTTCCCCGGCTGTTATCCTTAGTCCACTGTCACCTATTCGCCGCTACTCCCTCACGTGCCTCCCTCCGTGCCGAGCCGCCCGCCCTCTCACCTGTCCTGATGGGTCTGCTACGGGAGCAATCACGGCCCGCCGAGCCGATCGGGAGCAGGCCCTCCCTCCTCCAACAGCGCGGTAATGGTGTAATGGGATGTGGGCATTGATTACCGGTGTGTATCAGAGGAGGCGCGCGTGTCTCGGGTGGCCCGCCCCGCCACCTGGGTGCGTGTGGGACGCGGGATGGCGTGGGCCCGGCGTATTAGCGGGCGGGGGCGGGCTGGGGGGCTCCCAGCGGAGTGACCAGCGCAGTGTGAGGGGATGTGACGGCTGATGTCGTTGGCGAACCGCGGAACCGCCTACCTACCTCATATTGTGGTCGCTGATTGGAATTCAATAGAGGCCAGCTTACGGAGGCCGCAAGCTGGTGTTGTCATTAATTCTGAGGACCAATATGGGGCATATTTGGTCGTAAGTTGAACCTAATTAGCATGTTATATTGACATTGTTTCCTGTCTTCGTTGCTTTATGGTTTGTTGCCACTGGCGCATTATGTTCACATCGGGGTAACATCACGTTTGACACGATGCATGTTTGATATTAACTTTGCTGCTGTTATATTGATAGTTATGGCCGTCGGCCGTTAGTCGGTCCGCTGTGGACTGTTGCCCGCTGCTCCGGTCCGCTGTGGACTGTGGCCCGCTGCTCCGGTCCGCTGTGGACTGTGGCCCGCTGCTCTGGTCCGCGATGGTCGGGTGCTGTTCTGGTCCGCTGTGGACTGTGGTCCGCTGCTCTGGTCGGCTGTGGACTGTGGTCCGCTGCGCTGGTCCGGTCCGCTGTGGACTGTGGCCCGCTGCTCCGGTCCGCTGTGGACTGTGACCCGCTGCTCCGGTCCGCTGTAGACTGTGGCCCGCTTCTCCGGTCCGCTGTGGACTTTGGCCCGCTGCTCCGGTCCGCTGTGGACTGTGGCCCGCTGCTCCGGTCCGCTGTGGGCTGTGGCCCGCTGATCTGGTCCGGTCCGCTGTGGACTGTGGGCTGGTCCGCTGTGACCCGCTGCTCTGGTCCGCTGTGGCCCACTGATCTGGTCCGCTGTGGACCGTCGCTCTGGTCCGCTGTGGTCCGCTGCTCCGGTCCGCTGTGGTCCGCTGCTCTGGTCCGCTGTGGACTGTGCGGCCGTCAGCCGTCGGTCCGGTCCGTTTGACTCACCGTTCCGCGTGGACAATGCTGGATCGATTGGGTGGTCTCTGGCCTACGTGTCGTTATCGAGGTGCCAGTGGCTGGCGGTGGATGTCATTTTGCAGGCTCTGACCGTTACGGAACGATGACTGCCGCCCGACGGCCCTTTCTGTTTTCACTGACTTACAGTGGACTAGACTCGGGGACCCGTCGAACGCCGTTCCCCGCTAACTACCCTGAATTCCCGGGTGCACGTGTCTGCCGGCGGGCGTGCCGCAGAGGCCGTGTATACAGCGCGGGCGTTATGTCACAGCGGCGCTGCTGTTTATTTGAACTCGCGTCTCACAGCGCCGGGACATTGAGGCAGCCGTCTGGGACACACGTCTGGTGCAGCTCACACTCCGGGCTCATGTTTCAGAGTGACAGCGTGCAGACGGTTCCTGGGAATCCGGGCCGACTTCCCCGGACGGACCCCGGCGCGGTTTACATGTTTGGGATGCTTCAGCCGTGTTGTTGATGCATAAACCATGTTTGTCGTGACTAAAAGGTCAGATTAGCTCCAGTCTTACTTGAGCTAAATATACAGTCGTGCTCTCCCAAAGATCTAGTTTCCAAACGAAGTCATTGTCGGGACCTCCGTCGCCTGGATGCGGCTAATGTATGCCCCTACTGCAGGCTATGGGTGTACAGTGTACACTGTACAGTTCATCTGCCGCCGACTCTCCCTTGTGCTCGGCTAACACCAACTGCTCTGCCGAACTATCCTGGGCCGGCGCTCTTCCCACCCCTTACCGCTGCCCGCTCTGACCCGCTCTGCCTCCCTCTGACCCGCTCTGCCTCCCTCTGCCTCCCTCTGCCCGCACTGACCGCCTACCTCTGACCCGCTCTGACCGCCTCCCTCTGCCTCCCTCTGCCTCCCTCTGCCTCCCTCTGACCCGCTCTGACCGCCCCGCTCTGACCGTCTCCCTCTGACCCGCTCTGCCTCCCTCTGCTCGCTCTGACCGTCTCTCTCTCTGCCCGCTCTGACTGTCTCCCTGCCTGCCGTGTGCAGGTGCAGCTGTACGACGAGGAGCTCAAGTGGTCGTCGCACGCGCCGGACGAGGAGGCCGCCAGCTACCTGTCACTGCAGGTGACCTCGTTCGGCCGCTCCTGGGTGCTCCGACGCACCTACGACAACCTGCGGCTGCTCGACACGCAGCTGCACCAGTGCGTCTACGACAGAAAGTACTCGTGTCTGCCCGAGCTGCCGCTCGAGGAGAACCTGGCGCCCATCGGCGACAGCCTACAGGTGGGTCGGGTCGCCCCTCACTGGCGGACAGCGGAGGGGAACCTAGGGGGGAGGGGGGTAGGGAATGTGATGGGTGAGGTTTTGGTCTCATTTCAGCCGAACAATGTGCTTTTTCAGCGTTTTTTTCACACATAAGATGTAAGGTGAACGAGCGCCGTTCAATTTGGCCGATGCGGATTGATGCAGTCCACGCGTGGCCATGCACAAGGCCCTAAATACGCCATGCAGATGTACGGCGCCGCCATCTAGTGGCTGTTTTTGTTACTACTAGTACATACTGCTGCCGCGAGGTGTCGCGCAGACACGGCTGTCGCCCAGTGACCGGTACCTGTTTAGTATGCGGGCCGGCGCTGCGGCGGCTCCGGCCGGCAGCGATAGCTCGTCATCGGCTGGCCGGCGCCGCGCCATCCACGGGGCTTTGTCCAGCCATGAACCGGGCCCTGGAGAGATGCTCAGGGAGGGGGGGGGGGCTGGACGGAGGAGACCGGGGCGATTCGGAGTGGTGATGACAGATGAGGAGCAATATACGTCGGTGAGGGACACAATTATCACTAGATCGAAATAGATAGCCGGTGGTCTGATAGCTTCATGCTCTGAACCGTCTTACAAACGATACTTCTTGCAACCAGGCCCAAGTTCATCGCCTATGTCCGTCTTTGACTCGTCCCAGCGAAAATAGTCATCTCACCGACTGGCCGAGTCCCGCCCGCTGCTGGGCAGGGGATAGTGTAGGTCACGCGTATCTCATCACTCCACCCAGGACGGGGGGCTGCTCTCACGCTCACTGAGCAGTGACGGGGTGGAGGGACGGTCGGATGAAGACCGTGTCCGGTCGGCCGGCGCCCGCCGCTCGTCGGGTATCCATTGTCGGCAGAAGATGGAGCGGCCGGCAGTTCTGAGTGAGCTGCGAGGGGCCGCTGTGGTGCGGCGCGTGTTGGCCGGCGTACTGTGCTGTACGGGGGAGGACAGCAGAGCCGCGCCGGGTGTGACGCCACGGGCTGAGGGCGGACCAGGGCGCTCCCGTCCCATGCATATCGATACCGCTCTCCGGCGCCGCTCCCCCAGGGGGCGAACGTGACGTAATCGCCGCGGTATCACACTGCTGAGGCGGGCACGCCCCTGCGAGTCTCCGCCGCTCTGTCGGCCGCTCCGGCCCTCTACCTTTCTGTGTGTTTTTGCCGGTCTCTGCTCGTTGGTTTCTCCGCTGCTCTGCCGGCGTCTATCAGTCCCCACTCTGTCTCCGGGGACGTTTGACCGACGGCTGACGGCGACTCGGCTCCGGCCGACTGCCGCAGCAGCTCACACCCGGCCCTAAAAGCCGCCGTCCGTGACCAGAGCAGTTCGCCCGCCGGCAGACCGTTCAATCAAATCAGCGGCAGGGGTTTCCCGTGCTGCCCCTCGGCCACTCCCGAGTTTACCCGTGCTGCCTCTCGGATACTCCCGAGTTTACCCGGGCGGCCCCTCGGCCACACCCGAGTTTGCCCGGGCGCGGCCAGCTGACCGGTCCTAGAGACGGACGGCCGCGGAGTCGGAGGGACTCGGGGACTCGGGGGGGGGGGGGGGGGGGAGCAGCTTCGTCTAAGCTACGGAAAATGCATTGAGGGCTTCGGCGTGGCAACCCAAAGGTCGTCGGTTCGCGTCCAGCCGCGGGCGGCGCCTTTTGTCGTAATAGCGACGTGCTGTGCATGCTGAATTACCCCGTGGCGCCTGCATTGGCGCCGCCGAGACTGGCCAACGCCCTGGGGCGGGCCGGGTATGGCCTTTGTACGTGCTACTCGGCACCGCGGGCACGCCGGGCACGCCCGACAGCTCAGCAGAGAGCCGCGGCAGCTCCGGTCCCAGACCGACGTTAGGGGACGGAGAGCCGCGGCAGACCGGCGGCGGGGAGGTGATGTGTGGCTCATGCTGAGTCTGGTCTGTACGCTGATGATATTTACTGGTGTCGGGTGGATCCTCGAAGGTAGAGGTGTCGGCACGGTGGAGGTGTCGGCAGTCCAGTGTCTCCCAGCAGCGCCCACCGGCCACCAGTCCCCGCTGAGGGCCGGTGAACGGTCAGTGCCCCTTCGCCGCCCAGCCCACAGCCCTCGTGCAGCGTGCACCCACCGCTGACCCTGAGACGGCAGCCCGCCCCCGCTCTGCCGGGCTGCAGCCGCCGACAGCTGCGTCACGGCTCCATTAGGCCGCCATGATGACGGTGTGATGACGGCCGCTGCTGGATGTATGACGGGTGATGAGGCCGGCGGTCCCTGGTGACTGGCTGCAGGCCGCCGCGGCTCCGGCGGCTCCCCTCTCCCTCCCCTCCCCGCGTCCCGCTGTGCCTGAGGTGCCGGCCGGCCGGGAGGGCCCGTGTCGGACGCCGGCTCCCGGCGCTCCCCGTCTTCTCCGGCAGTTTTTGTGGCCCAGTCCGCCTCGGATCTGGCGATGCGGTGCTGTGTCGGCTGATGTGATGGGGCCGCACTAAAGAAATTAGGTACCTAGTGAAGAAGACTGCACCTGCCGGGACACAATGCCCTTAGACAGTGTCTCTCCGGACCGCTGCTTGGCGGATTTAAAACCCCTCGGCCAGGCTGCCGGCTTTCCGTCCAGCTCTGCCGTCTCCGCCAAATCGATGGAACGTCCTGTGGATGGCAGCTGTGCCCAGCCGAGTGGCACAGTTCGGCCCGCTCCGGCCCGCCCGCCGGCTCCCGGCTGGTTCCAGAGGAGGCCCTTTGTCGTTGGTCTGGTTTTTGGGACGCCGGACGTTTGTCTCAGTGAGAGCGGGACATCCGGAGGTGCTCTACCCTTCTACCGGCACCCGGCCGCGCCACTCTGTTTTCCCGAGGGTGTTTAAAATGTATCAGCTGCTGGCTGATCAAGATGTATGGACTCGGCGAGTCTGAGACGCTTTGAGCCGGGTTATCTGGGCTGTGTTATCTGAGCCGGGATGAGTGGGATGGGCTCTGGTCTGAGAGGGGTGACGCGAGTCGAGGCCCCGGCTCGGCGTTAGCTGCAGAGGCGGCCGGAGCTGCCGTCCCTCCCCCCTCACGGTGATGTCATCCGCTCACCGCCTGTGACAGTGTCCTGGCCCGCCCCTCCGCGGTGAACCCTCTCCGCTGACACTGTGCAGACACCGTGTGAGGCCTGCCGCTCGCAGCGCCACCGCCTCCATGCAGATGACGCGCGCTAATCTACTTACACAGCCCTCCCGATGGTTACATGTGTAGTGTGTGGGTCTTCACTGTCGGGGCGGGAGGAAGCGGAGATGAGGAGGTGAACCTGGGAGTGTGGCGGAGGGATACTCCGCCGCAGCTGGCGCTGGAAATGTCCGCCTAGCTCCCGGGACCAGCACCGTAAACTGCCGAGGACCTGTCGCCCCCAGCCGTGCGGCGCGCCGGGGTATGTGTCCGCACTCCGCCGTGTGCGGCTGCGGTGGCGACGGAAGGTACGGCATTGACCAGTGAGCCACGGGGCTGAGCTGTGAGCGGCGCGGCGGGGTCCCCGGGCGGGGCTGGCCGACGGCGGGGTCCGCGGGGCTGACCTGGACGCTCGATATCGCCCCTCTGCCGGCGGCGCCCAGGTGACGCCGGTGCCGACACTCGGTCCGCCCGCCCGCCCGCTGACTCAGCGCCCTACCTGCCGCCGCCGCCGCCCCGCCGGAGCCCATTGATTGGGGGCGGCCGGCCGGCGCCTCAGCCGGCCATCAAGTGGCCTCGGCGCCGGCCGGGAAGCCCTGCGGCTGCAGTGACACGGCTCTGGGCGGCGACCAGTGTCGGAGGCGAGCGATACGACCGCGGCGAGTCGACCTACCAGCCCGACGGGCCGACACGGGCGTCCGACGGAGCTCTGTGGCGCCCCCCCCCCCCCCCCGCCGCGCGCTGATCCCGTCCCGTCACCGTCGCCGAAATACAGGCGCTATACTGTGATTCAGAAGCTGCGGGGCGGCTGGTTTGCGAGGCTGCAGTCACATTGGCTGCGTTTGATGGCGCCCCGGGGGATGGCTGCTGATCGGATATGCTTGCTCCGATGTTTGGCTGGCGGGGATCGAGGATGCTCCGACTCTATCCCAGCTGGAGCCCGGCTTACTGATACGGTGTGCTGCCCGGTCTTGTCAGCCAAACTGCGCCATATCCCGGACGGTGAGCCGGCCGGGGCGCTCAGTGTGTGTGTGTGCGTCTGACCCTGGCCCGGCGGCGGCCGGCGCCGTCTGACCGATCGGTCACGGTCGTTGCCGTCTGACCGATCGGTCACGGCCGCCAGTGCCGCCCATCGGTCACCGGTGACCGTCCGTCACGGCGCCGACTGCTATCCAGAGGTGTGCTGAATAATGCAGCCGGTCCGCCCGGCCGCCCGCTGCGGAGGGACGCAGTGTGCACACACACCGCACGGAGAGCCAGCCGCTCCTCTCCGACAGTCGGTGTTGGGACGGACGGAGTCGGCAGTTCCGCGGTCTTAGGATGGCAGATCCGCGGTCTCAGGACGGAGCCGGCAGATCCGCGACGGTCTCAGGACGGAGCCGGCAGATCCGACGCGTTAGGATGGACGGAGCCGGTAGATCCGCGGTTTAGACGGCAGATCCGCGGTCTCAGGACGGAGCCGGCAGATGCGCGGCGTCTGGAGCATCACCGGCAGTGGCCGGCCGGGCCGGGAGTTTGACCGTGACCGGGCGGGGGCGGAGTGGGGCGGCCGGCGCCGACCGGTCCCCGCCGCCGGATGACGTCACGATGACGTCACTGGTTCACTGGCCCGCCAGTCGGAGCGGACAGCAGGCACAACTGCGGAGAACGTAATCTGCTGTATTGGTTATCTTTTTATGACAATCGTGTTTGTTCTAGAGTTCATCCGGTTTGAAGGCATTCCAGATGTTACCACTTGCCTTATGATGCCGAGACTGCCGATGTTGTATTGATGCGGGATGCTTTTATGATTTGTTACTTTAAAGGGCCGTTTTTCTGCGGCTTTTCTGATAAATGACACCTTACTGTGCGTCACCACCCACCAACTCCAAGAGCCACACAGTGCAG